GCTTTCATGAGAGAGAGGGCTTCCTGAAAATTCCAAAGGTGTGTCTAGAACTAGGAGCCTCGTGTTTGAAGTGTGGGGTTTTACTATCAGCCAAGCAGTAAGGAAGGTGGAGGACTTAGCAGAGGCAGCATCGCTGGGGAGGAGGAGACACAAACACGCCCTGGGTTAACTCCAGTGTGGGCAAAAGGAACATTCCTATGAGTGTTCTAGCATTTTGCGATTGGCACGTTTGTCTTTTTCTTACCAAACTGAAGAGCTTTTTGAATAGTAAGGCTAGTAACCCTTCATAGCCCAAACCCTTCATTTATTAAATGTACTGAGAATATATTTCCCAGTCTACTTCATCCTTTTTGACTTTTTTTTAAATGAAATTTGTTTGCCAAAAAAAAAAGAAAACTTTAATTTTTATATAGTCACATATGTCTACATTGTCTTTGGAAACATCTGGGGTTTTCTATCTTGGTTTTAAAGGTTTCCTCAGTCCCAAGATTATTATTATTATTTTTAAAATACATTATCCTAAATTTCCATTCCAGGCATTTATTTTCATTTTTTAACATTTAAACTCTTTAATCTACCTAGAATTTATTTTTGTGCTATGTAATAAAGTAGGAGTTCAACCTTATTTTCTTCCAGGCAAATACAGTTGTGCCGGGATTATTTATTAAATAAATACCCTTTACCATTAAACTAAAATAACATCTTTGTTCTATATTATATTTCTATAGGTAGTGTGATTTATGTTTACACTCTCTATTCTGTGCCAGTTATTTAATTGTATCAATTACAAAGCCTTTATAATACGTATTATTTATTCTTCCATCAACATTTCTCAAATAAAAAACCCAATCCCCTCAATCCAGCTAGGATACTAACTAGAACTGTATGAAATTTATATAACTTTGGGAAAATGAAACGTTTAATAATATCTTCCCATCCAAGGGAAACCCTGGTAGCACAGCGGTTAAGAGCTACAGCTGCCAATCAAAAGATCAGCAGTTAGAATCCACCAGCCGCTCCTTGGAAACTCTATGGGGCAGTTCTACTGTCCTATAGGGTCGCTTTGAGTTGGAATCGACTCAGCGTCAATGGGTTTGGTTTGGTTTTGCAATCCAAGAGCAGTCTCGTCCCATTTATTCAGACCTTATTTGATGCCCTTCAGTAAGTTTTATTAGTGACTGAATGGTGGTATTCTATTTTTCTGCATTGTCTAAACATCCCATGATAAATCACTTTTCTATTGCTTTCATAACTTGCAGAAAGAAATATTAAACAAACAAAACAATGAGAATTTCATAAACTCTGAAGGGGTCTGTTGTTACCCATAACATCTCCTTCATCTCCCTACACTCTTCCTCTTTGTCTACTCCGCCTTCCTCATCCCAGGAAAAGAGAATAAAAACATGCTCACACAGCCAACTCATACTGAGTCCTACTGTAAGGCAGTTCCCACAAAACTCAGACTGTTATGTATTGAATTGTATCCCCCCCCCCGAAATATGTGCTGAAATCCTAACCCCTGTACCTATAAATACGACCCTGTTTGTAAACAGGGTTTTTCCTTTGTTATGTTAATGAGTCATCCTAGAGCA